GAGCTCCAACTCTAGCGGTTAGAGGAAAGGACTGTCACTTGTAGTGACAATTTGCCACTCTACACAACAGCTATGCCGCCACACTGTCTAACAGGAGTAAATCCAGCATTCTCTACTGACATCTTATTTTCTTGTTCTAAAATGTTACCTCTGTGTGGCATCAAAGATACATTTACATGTTTTCACCTACTTCTTACTTCACACCTTTCATATTGTCACAATCTTGGGAAGGCATTTGTGGGCATTTAAAAAACGTTTAGGGGATGGGGGGTATAGCTCAGTGGAAAAGCACGTGCACAAGGTCCTGGGTTTAATCCCCAGTGCCTCCGTTCAGGGAAAAAATGAGACAGACAAGGCAAAACAAAACCAAACCAAAATTCTTTGTTAGCATTTAGAGCTTTTGCACTTTGAGACATTTCTGAATCTATTTAAGATTTGATTATTTTACTGTAAATCCAACCGGAGATAACAATAACAGTAATGAAGTTCTGTTGCCTATTACGTGTCAGGTGTGATGCTAGGTGTTTTACAGCCATTTTCTCATTTAACTGTCCCATAGGCAAAGTATCATAAACTATACAGATGAGGAAACTGAGGGTCAAAAAGATTAAGCGGTTTAACCAAGATAATACAGCTAATAAATGACAAAGCCAGAATTCAAAACTCGAGTTTCTCTGATTCTAAAATCCATATCTTTTCTACTACACTACATTGAATATTATTAAAATGAATCTACTGAATTCTGTTATCAACTATGCCTCTGTTATTCAATTAAGTGATATGAATTTGATGTTAAGAGAAAAAGCTACATATCTATAAATGATAGGCATAGCATGTAAAAATTTTACTATATTTGTTTATGTTTTTAGGGCCTAGGGCTGAGCCCTAATTCATCTGACTCTAGGATGTAATGAGTTATGTTAAAACTTTAATCCATTCTATTAGGTTTAAACACTAAAAATTGCTACTAAAATGATGTCTCATTCAGGGAAAGCCTCTTCGCTCCTCCTTTAGGACAATGGGCAGCACAGAAAGTGTCCGATTTAATTAGTTGTGTATGTAGAAAGAGATGCTCATCTGTTTCCATGGAGTCAAACACATCACTGACATACTTCTCCATGGAAACAGAGATGGGAAAACAGAAAATGCTGAAGTGAATGAATTCACTGAGCAGTTGGTGAGCAAAGAATGAAGGAAAAAAATTCATCTGTAGTACTACGTTACTAGTTTAGAAAAGAGAAATAGCATGCAGGTAGAGATCATCACGTGAGCTACATAAAAGAATGCACAAGATGCACTGAAATTTAAGATGTATCTTAACACCAAAAAATAACGTATTATTTTGGTAGGAATATGTTAATGTTAGGAACTACTACAGAACAAAGGTATTACTGTCTTTGCACAGAAGACAAAAATGGCAGAATTCTTAAAAGATGAGCAGTGTTACAGCACTAGGTCAGCAATGAGTAGGGGGTTCCTTAAACAAAATGAGAAAAGGCATAGGGAACCAATTTATAAGTAAATTTATCAGCTCTGTACTTATTTCACATCATGATTGCTTCTTTGTTTTTAAGGAATTTTTTCTTAGGGTGTATAAAATTACAGGAATATTTCAAGTTTTATTCTGTAACATTAATTTTATGATTTAGCCTACATAAGTGCTTTCAATTCACAGCATATTGCACACTTTGTTCTTTTTGAAGGTTGTGTTTCATATGAAAATAATAAAAGATTAATTTTATAGGATATGTTTTCTTAAGGAATTCTGACTTAAATTTTTTTTTCCCAACCCAAGTTACAATTTAGTACTAACTTGCCTCTCAATTCAAATCAATACAATTCAATTCAGATTTAATCTCAGCCCTCTAGATGATGATAGACTCTTGGGAGGAAAGATACTTAAAAGAATGATTAGAATATTTATTTAGTCCTTCAATAAATAATTCTCATGTGCTTACTGTGTGCCAGTATTGTGCTCGATTTTGTGGATATGATAATGAACTAAACAGACCTAGTCTCTACTCATGTAGGCTACCAGCTAATAGAGGAGAAAGACATTATAATAGTCATACACATAAATACACAGTTATGATGTGAAGGGAAACTACAGAGTTCCAAGACACAATGAACAGACTTCACTGAGATTGAATGAGTAGAGCAGGCCTCTTCGAAGAAGTGACCTTAATACTGAGATCTGAAGGATGAATAAAGGTCAGTCAGACAGAGGATGGGGAGAACAGTATTTCACGCAGAAGCCCTGATATGGAAAAGGGCTTGGCAGTTTTGAGAAATGAAAAGAAAGCAGGTTTTTCTAGGAAGGGAGTGGTGAAATGTGAGGTTGGAGAGGGAAAGGGGTACAGGTATGCTTTTAGATTTTATTCCAAGGACAATGGGAGGCAATTAAAGAGTTTTTTAAAGCAGGAAAATGACATAACTGAACACCCAATATTTAGCATAACTAAACATGGAACATTAAGCCAAAAAAAAAAGTCCAAAAAAGGTAAACTAAAGTATAGTGTTCAAGATATATAACTAGGTGGTAAATCTACAATGTAATTATTACCATAAAAGTCAAGACAGCAAATTACTCCAAGGGGAAGGGAAGGATGCAGTAGGGGCCTATTTTCTTTCAGTAAAATGTGGATTGAGGTAGAGAAGTGGGGACAACAAGCGCAGATGGCTCAGGAAGCTTGGTGTTGGTGACAGAGAGTGATATTTGTCCCCATATCCATTCTCTCATTCCTCTTTTTGGGAACTGAGTGCCCTGAGTTTTAGCTGGGCATGATGCCAATCAGGGAGAGATTTTTTTTAGCCTCTTTTGTCCTGGGTGTGGCTCTAAGTCCACCCACTTCCAGAATGACAAATTGCTTTCCTGCATTCTCTGTTTTCCCCTTACTGGCTGGGCTGGGCTATGACTACAGTGAAAGACTCTGCCTTTGCCCGGAGATGGAAGCCACATGTTGAGAATGGCAAAGCTGAACTCTAGCAGCTTCCCTGGATGGTTGTGTCAAGCAGAGATGTCTATCCACCCTACGCTGCTCACTTGCCTTTGTACTATAATGAGAATGAGACATAATTCTATCTTAGTCAAGTCACGGTTATAGCAGTTTAGCCCATCTACTGGTACACTTACAAAGAAAAGTTGAGAGCTATGGCAATACCCAGAGGGGGATGAAGGACCAAGAAAGGGATTTTTAAATAATGGAGTTAATAGAGCATGTTTAAATGTTGGTGGAGAAGAACACAGAATAAAAGAAAAGGTTGAAGATGTATTAACCAGAGGTTAAAAAAAAAAGGAACAAGATCCCTGAGAAGATAGGATGGAATAGAATACAGAGTATGTGTGGAAGAACTGACCTTTGACAGAAAGGGATATTTACTGATTCAGCAGGAAGAGAGAAGAAAATGGGTGCAGATGTAGGTAGATTTGTAGATATCATGCTGAAAGAGGGCAGAGTTCCTATTTAATGTTTCCATTTTCGGTAGGGAGCATAAAGCATTAGCTGAGAAGGGAGAGGGAGAGCTGGCCTTCCGAATTGCAGTACAGTGAGAAGTATGAAACAGTCATCACGGAGAAATGTGGTATGATGAACAGAGAGGGCTTAGTGCTCCTTTGAAGTGGATAATCATGAATTTAGGGAGTTACCAATCTTCTAGACAGGTTAAATTGTTCAGGGGTTGGCAGAAGTAGATGGATTAGATCCATCAAGAGTTGGAATTGCAATAGCCAGGTGCAACAGATGAAAAGAGAATTTTTCTGAGAGAAAGGATTTTAATAATAGATTATGGAATCAGGCTGAATAAGGAAGAAAGTAAAGACAGAAAGAGACTGATGATAAAAACTGGAGTAGATAATGGATTGGAGGTCTCAGTGATGTTGAAAAACTATTATTCTCATTAGTAAATGAACTAGAACTAAAAGAGTTTTAGGTGAACAGTGGAATGTTTGAATGAGTGATTCAGAGGTGTGGAAGATGTCAAGTTCCAAGGAGTATCCAACTGTAGATAGCTGAGGTGAAGTGAGGATCACATCTCTGATAGGAAAGAGAAATCTTTGTAGAGTATGTGGTAAAAGGATTTTGTCTTTGAAGATGAGTTTGAGTTTGTTTAGTAGAGGAGAAGGTAGAGGGGTAGAAGGTAGAAAAGGAGAGAGGGAACAGATGTATAGAGAAAAGTAAAGATAAAATTCATGTCATATTGAAGAACAGAAAGCTTAGCCAGGGGTGAGGGTGCATGGGTAGAAGTTGCTGGAGAAATCAGAAATGTAGGGTGAAAATAAATTCTGAAGGAACAGGAATGGAAGTTCAAGTAGCGTGGACTTTATTTCAAAGCCCAGGTTGTCAATCATGACGTACTAGACATGTGCATAGAGATGACAAATAGAAATTTTTATTTTATTTATTCTCTTTGGGACTAATGACTTGCGAACATGTAGATCTGTGGTTTTCACAATTCTGGATAATTCTCACTCATTTTGTCTTGGAATACCATCTTTCTCCTATTCACTTTATTCTCTAGAACTTCCATAATGGACATTTCTCTCTCTCTCTCTCTATATATATATATGATAAGGCAAACTCAATCAATTTCAATCAGTTGAATCAATGACAGAGAGAACACTGAATCAATTTAAAATCATCAAAATTTAAATTATCTGTAAACATTAGGACTCTGGGTATATATTAAATGTTAAAGATCATTATCCAGTATCTCATTCCAGATCTCTGTTATTACAGAGCTGAATTCTCTTAACGCCTTAGAGTACATATTCAGATTCTATGCCAAATACACAGATATTTCTCAAGTACTTTTCATCTAATCTTAACTCATATTTTTTTGGGGAAATAATTCTTGTCCAAGCCCCGAAACAAAATGTAAATAACAATGTATTTCCATTAAAATATGTAAGTAAATTGCAAATTAAAACTAAGATGAATAAACCTCCTCAGGACAAGAGTTATTTTTAAAGCTTTTGTATTTAAGGGGAGCTTGGAACTTACCTACGATGAGCTTGTGAAGAGCACCCTTATCTCCATTAATAGCAGCAGCATGAACTTGGGACGCTAATGAGGAACCAGTAAAGAACAAGCTCTCTGACTTGTTCATAGTCTTCTCAACAACTGGAGTCACCTGAAACAACGATGTAACTACTAAACGTCTGTAGGTAACATTTCTGAAACCGATCTCATCAGTTCTAAATGGATGTTATAAATATGGTTTACTAGAAAATTTTCACAAGGATTCTAAAAGTTTACAGTCCTAGTCTTAGAATTTCCATAAGATGGCAAATTAGGTGACCCTTTATTCAAGTTGCTCATTTGTAAAATGAGAAGATCAGATGCTTCTAAGACCCTCCTCAAGGGCTGAGGGAAAAAAAAAGCTGAATATTTACCATTAGACACAGGGTTCAAAAGCCTCAGTGACTTGCTAAGTTAATATAGCTGATTTGATTCCACATAATACTAAACAACAGAATTGATATTGGGAATAAAGGTGATGACTAAGCCACAAAATAGAATGATGTGAACTTGACTGTCAAGTTAGAATTAACTAAATTCAAGTGCTAAATTAAAAGATGCCTAGTTCGTTCTTTCATGTCCACAAAAGGAGGAATTTTTTTTTTCTCTCCTTGTGTCCACCAGGGAAATGGTATATACCAAGTCAGAGATCTTGACCTTAGGAACTTACTTGGAAACCATATCATTAGAGTAAACCATGTTTCATTATGGAAAATTCTGCTCTGACTGGTAGTCTGATATGGTTTGACAGAACCTTCTAGAAATGCATTAGCTGCAATGGGAAATAGTGAGTTCCCTGTCATAAGTATGTTTAAGCAGAGGCTAGATTAGTCAGAAGTGCAGCAGGAAGAATTCAAGCATCCGATGGGAAGGAAGGAGGAGTAGTTGCATCAAATCTTACACTTCCTTCTGAAAGCTAAGACGCTATATCCAAGTTCCAAAGTTGAACGTCTACAAGAATCAGGGAGGTAACAAATGCAAGAAACATGGGAAGTCACAGTGATCATGGCAAATTGGAGCACACTTACCTAAAGGGAGCAGCTGTTAATAAGTTACAGTTATTATCTGCCATAAGGGTAAGCAAGCCCTCTTCTGATTTTACCAAAAAGTGTCACTCCAGTCTCTGTAAGTCCCAAGGATCTAGGATTTTTGTAAGATAAATTTATCACAACTGATGAGCTAGTAATTGGCTGTCACTGACAAGGATTACTGGTTCAAGTTCTGCCTTAGAATGAAAGTACTTCCCTAACTTTAGTAAAGGTCAGCTTTCCATGTCTTTATTTTGCTGACAATTTGAGTTAACATGTTGGCAAAATCCATGGGCGTTTTCAGACACTTCTGTCGTATCTGAGCGTGTCTGTCATGTCAGAAAAACCAGTCAGATGCAGATTATATTGAAGTGACTTGAAGAAGTTACAAAACGGGTGGATGTGCAAACACGGTAGAGGAGTAATTGCACTTGGGCTCAAGGTCCAGTTCTGTTAATAATATGCAGTGTGCAACTACTCTATATAAAAATGATAAAAAATTTCTTCTGTATAGTACAGGGGACTATATTCAATATCTTGTAGTAACCTATAATGAAAAAGAGTATGAAAATAAATATATGTATGTATACATATGACTGAAACATTATGCTGTACACCAGAAACTGACACATCATAATTGACTATATTTCAATTTAAAAAAATAATATGTATTGCACACTTAAGCTACCTCAGTTCTGATTTTCTGTAAAATATGAAACATGAAAATGGTAGACCATGTTGATTTATTCAACAAGATGAGTGCCAACTATGTGCTAGGTACAGTTCTGAACTCTAATGCCTGTCACTTAAGATTCTAAGTGATCAGAGTTTGAGGCAGAATGAGAATCACAAAAAACTCTTCATACCTTTTGAAAAATCCACCAAAAATGATCTCAGTTGTATATATTTATATGTACTTCATTTCATAATTCTTAGCATTTAGCACAGTAACAGGTATATAGCTGGTGTTCAGTAAATATCTGTTGAATGAAAAGTCATAGGCTGGGTGTTAAGTCCAGAGGGTGAGCAGGATCAAAGTTTTATTTCTTAGAGTAATGAGTTCACACTCTTGAGTCTCTGCTCTTTTTTAATTCCTCATTTCTATCTCTCTGTCAGAGAGGTCGCTTAGTGGTACAGAGATAAGAACACTGGACTAGGAGAGAAGAGACCTAATTAAAAGCCTTGGCTCTATCACTATTTAATTTTGTCAGACTGAGAATCCTTTTTTTTTAAAATAGCTCAAATGTATTTTTTTAAGCGCTAATGCTTTTTGTAAATTTTTTATGGATGAAGACCAAAACTACTTTGCTCATTATGAAGTGCTATAAAACGCTAAGGTATCATCATCATTAACTAATTACAAAACAAGCCAGTGTAATAAATGCTCTAATAACTGTAACTATAGAAATCTAGTGGTACTGTAGTCACAAGCAAAGGAATAGTAATATTGATTAGGACCAAAGTGTTGGTTGTTTGGTTAAGTTCTCAGAGATGGTGACATATGTGAGGTGGCTATCCAGGTAGAGAAAGGGTTAGGGCCATTCCAGGCAGCAGGGAAGCTGAAGCAAAGGCAAGCAATAGGGAGAACCACGGAAGGGAGCCGAATGCCTCCTTGTTATGTAGTGGCGATTGTGTGGCTACCACATGGGGCACGTGAACCTGGCTGGGTGTTTGTAGATGAAGCTGGAGAGCTAACTGGGGCCAGGTTAAGTTCCTCAACTGCTTGGCTAACGAATTTTGCAATTATCCTGTAGGAGTGATCCATGCGTTAGTAGCAATCACTCTCCCACAAAGCTTTTCAGTTTACTACGTGCTTTCCCATTCCATGCCATATCTATTCCTTACAGGAGCCCAAAGAGACAATTAGGGATAAGTCATAGACACATTCCACTGAAACCCAGAGAGGTGGCTCTAAATTTATGATGCAGGAATTAGCGTAGAAAGAAGCAGCAGCAGGAGAGGAGGCCAGTGATAGAGATTCAGGCCACAGACCAGGACGGCCGTGAGTTTGAGGCAGGGGTCAAGGCAGTGCAGATCGATGGGCGCCTCCCCAGCCAGGCCCCCTCCTACTCACCGTCGCCTCCTCCAGGACTCACGTCCTGGGGGCGGCTCCAGGAGGCACGACCCTCGCTGGGCCGCCCCTCCAGCCAGGCCAGGCCACTACATCCGGCTGGAACAGAGCCCACTGCGAGGAAACTAGCGGAACCCCCCGGAAGGCCGCCCGAGGCTCTCGACCGCACAGCCTTCTGGGAATTGTAGTCCCCATTTTCTGAAGCACAGACGTACACCCGCCCTCCGCCCTTTCTATCCCACAGGGCCCCGCGCGCAGCGGACTCGGTGGACTTGGGCCGAGAGCCTGATGGGAAAAGAGTTCTGGGTGCCCGATGACGTGCTCTTTAAGAATGGCGCAAGACTACATTTCCCTATGTGCTCAGAAGTGGGCAGGACCCGGAAGTGAGGGTGTGCGAGGCCTCTCTGGAAGTTGTCCCGGGTGTTCGCTGCTGGAGCTCCGGGTCGAGAGGACGAGGTGCAGCTGCCGGGAGAATCCTTCGCTGCCGCCGGCTCCCGGAGCCCAGCCCTTTCCTAACCCAACCCAACCCAACCCTGTCCAGTCCCAGCCGCCAACGCCCGTCCCTGCCGCGGACCTCGGCGTTACCATGAATCCTGCCGTCTTCCTATCCTTACCCGACCTCAGATGCTCCCTGCTGCTCCTGGTGAGTGAGTAAAGGAATGACAGACCCTTCGACAGACGCACGGACGGCCTCCCGCTCTCGCCAAGAGGTTCACAGCTGCCCCTACCCCTGCTTTTTTATCTTTTCCTCTGGTGGCGAGGAGTGCACCCTCTCCCTCTGCCTTCATTCTTGGGATCAGTCTACCCGCTTTCCAGGCCCGGGGTTCCCGAGGCCTGAGAAACCACGGTCGGAGGTTGGGACCTGTAAACAGGAGAACTGACCCTGGGAGAAGGGTCTGTGGGAGGGTCACGGCAGGGAGCGCCCCTTCCCCCGGAGTTCGGAGGTTGTTTTAGTGTAAAGGGCTCATGGGCCTGGTGGTAGCTTGACTGCAGAAGGACCGTCCATGGACCTACTCTTTCCTCCCACCCCGTCCTTTGGGAAGAGTATGGGGCCGACAGGTGCTGGGGTCTTGTGAATCTCGCTCTAGAGCTCTGAAACGGTGCCCGGGTTGGCGGAGCCCTCTGTTGTGGCTTGATGCGATTGGTTGGGAACCCGGAACTGGAAAACTGGTTTGGTGTCCACTGGAGGAGTAAAGGTTTGGAGGGTGGAGGCTGTGATTACCAGAAAGCCTCAGCGCAGGGCCTCCCTTAAATCTTGTTATACCGCGCCCCGAACCCGAAATTTAAGCAGAATTGTTCTTAAGTGCTCTGGATTTGTGAACGACCAGGTCTTCTGCATACATAGGCACTTACTGCTTAACTTCCTCACCGGCTCAGCACCATCCCATCTTGTAAAGGAATCTTCCCCCAGTCCCTCTTCCTCCAAAGTACATCTTGAGTGTGCAGCCTAAGTAATCCAGACTGCAGGTCAAATTGACAAAAGTGAAGGACTGACTCAATATGGCAAAATAATGTACCTTTAACTGAGCTGTTATAATACAGTATTTGAAAATACTTTCATTGTGGTAGATTTTTTTAAAAGCGAAGTTTAAGATGAACATTAAGTCAAAATTACTCTTTATAGTGTAAAAAACATAATTAAGTCACTCATAGGAAGTCATACAGCAGGTTACCAGCAGAACTGGGATTTGAAGCAGGTGTCTTGACTCACAATGCTTATTCTACCGTATCACGTTAAATTTCTAATATTTGTGTTTGGAATAATTTCTCTCTTTTTCGCCCTCTTCCCTTTTCCCTTCTCTCTCCTCTCTTTTCTTTGTGATTTTCAAGTTGTATGCAAAAGCCAGACCCCGTACTTGGGCCTTTTCAGAGGAAAATACTATAAAAAACTAAACGGGATATTGAAGTACTTTAGAGAACTAAAAGTTGTATATAAATGTGGTAATGTTAAATGATAAAGTGCCTTGCTGTCACTTCTTATAAGTCTACAGTAATTAGTGACCTCTCTGTAGAGGAAAATATTCTGTATAGAGCTGTTTCTTGGTGACTGCATTGTATGCTGTAGGTTTCTTCCTTTTAGAAGGCCTGGAATAATACTTATTTGTTATTAAAGACCACACTCTCTTTAAGGGTAATGCATACTAATCTTTCCTTTATCCATAAAATGGCCAGAATTATGAGTTGTCTGCTAGAAATTACTTTTAGGTTGTAAAAAGTACAAAGGGCAAAATATCTTAAAGAGACTGGAAAAGAAAAGTTGAAATACTGAATAAGAAAACTATATCAGATTCATTGGTTGTAAATTTAAATTAAACTTACTTAAAATAAGAACTAAGCTTAAGAAGGAGAAAGAATTTATTTTGAAATAACTCATGCTTTTTATAGAAAACCTACAAATCCTGTTAAACATAAAAAAGAATCTTTTCCCTAATAATTCTAAAATCTAGTTAACATTTTGTATATTTATCTTTCTAAGTAAATGCAGAGGAGTAGAAGACATTTTAGACTGTAAGGTTAGTAGACTGGAAAACAAAGACCAAGAAAAAGTTTAGTAAACCAGAGTTACAAGTTCAGCTAGATTCAGTTTGAACACAGTATTTACCAAAGTAGTTTTAATAATCATATAATAGTTAGCGAATATTTATAGAACATCTGTCTGATCACAATTTGAACTGGTAATTCTATTCTGGTGATGGAACTTGCTTACTCAGGATCCTACCTGTCTAAAAAATGTATGCTTTATTGTCCCCAACGTACTTTCTTCCTCCTGCCTCCAACTTCCCCTCTCAGACTTCATATTTACTCCTTCCCACGTAAAGCCATTGAATGTCCAAGTTCCCACCTAGCTGAGATAATTTTTTTTCTTAAATGGCCTGCTCTAAAAAGCCATATATTCTCTTACCACAATTTATTCTGGGAAACTATACCTGTGCCCTAAAGAACTAGATCTGTTAAGACTTAGTGGTGTTCAAAGATAGCTGAAACATAAAACCCTAAATTTCTGCAGGCAGGTAGTTTTTTTTCTCCTGATCTCAAAAGCATTTGGGGACATATTCTACGCTTAGAAAGCCTTTCTGGGATGGGTAGCTAAACATAAAAGCTCAATGTGACAACTTTTTTCTCCTGAGCTTTTATGTGTAGATATATATAAAGTCAAGGCCTTAGAGAATGAATTATTTCAGACTTGCTTTATTAAACACTGCCACTGCCTTTAAATATTTTTAAACTCCACTGAATTTGCAACATGTCTTGAATGAAGTGAGGTTGTAGTATTGATACACTGATTTTGGTTAAGTCAGAAGAGAAATTTGAGTCACCTGGCAAATGCAAAGAGGCCACAATCCTTCTGATACCTTTTCGATACCTCACTATATATATTGTTTCTGTTATGGTTTGAGTGGATCCATTAGATATGCATGTGATTACAAGTTTAGTTTTTGAACTTTATAATCTCTGCCGTTTATCTGTTCTTCATATTTTGTGGATGATTTGAATGCTGGACAGCAGCGTTTCTTTGCTAACGCCCCATCTATATAATATTGGGATTGGGAAATTGCTTCCCAGTTGTGTGTGCTTTTAAGGAGAGCTGCCTGAATCAGAAAAAAGCATCTGACCAAATGTATCTTGGCACTATCTTTTCATTTTGCTCTGTTACGATCATTACTTGGCAGTTTACAGGATAAGTTAAGGAAATATTTTATTTATCACTCTAACCAAAGAATCAGTTACTTATTAATTTGCCCTTTTCTGCTTATCTTTCTGAGGTGGATTTATTCAGGCAGGATTAACAGTGATCATTTTCCCCTTCAATTAGTTACTTCTTAGCAGTTGTTCTTCCTGTATTGGTTGTGTACAAGTTTTGAAAAGGTGAGATAAGAGAAGTAAGACTAAATTGGAGTGAGGTTGTTTGATATACCCTAAGTAACCTCTTACATGGACAAGAAATTTGTAACACTCCACTCCAGTTGCTTTATTAAAGACACTTTCTTCTTAATCCCTTGATGGTTATGTGTATAGATAGTAAGTTGTTAGTAGCCCAAATTGCCTTGTGCCTGGACTTTAAGGTTTTTGCCATTATTACTCCTGGTTTGTTCAAAATGTATAAGAAGCCAAGAAAAGTTCGCTTAGGTTAGGAAACTAAGTCAGCTAGAGAGTTAAGTAATCATTTAATTAAACTCTTTATAAATTTCTTAAAAATAAGTACAGTAGAATTCAGAGATGTCAATTTTAGCCGGTAGGGTCGATAATAAATACTGATTCCTGTCTTCAAGAAGAGTACTTTTTGGAGACATGTAGTTCCATTCGTGATTCAGTGAATTATTTATTTTACTGACATGACTTGCCAGGTCAGTGGTTTACAAAACATGGTTGTTCATTAGAATCTCTTGGAGCAGTTTTAATACAATGTTATCTAGGCCCTATACAGGCTAGTTATATCTATGGGACCTGAACACTGGCTTTTTTTTTTTTAATTCCCAGTTGATTTATTTTTTTCTCTAGTATGTCTCTCTTAAAGATAATTAAACAACAAAACAAACCCCAGAATACCATTATCACATCTAGAAAAGTTAACAGAAATGCCTTTATGTCATCAAATACCTAGTCAATGTTCAGATTTTCCTGACTGTTTCAAAGAATTTTTTTTTAATCAATTGAATGTTCACAGCAGGAGCCATATAGAATCCATACATTTTAATTGGCTTATATGTTTTTTTTTATAAAACTTTATAAATCTGTAGATTCTCTTTCTATCTCATTTTTTTCCCCTTGGTAATTTATTATTAAGGAAACTAGATCCTCTGTCCTACAGAGTTTCACACTTTCTGGATATTACTAATTATATCTTCGTGGTGTAGTTTTATGTTTCTCTGTTCCTTTTATTCACTATAAATGTATAATTAAATTTATATGGTCTTAACCACCAACTCAATATATAGTTAGGTTAATTTGTTTCATTTAGCTTTCAACTTTTAGTTAAAAAATTATCTTTTAATATATAATTATGTAAATTTTACTGCTCCCAGTGCCAAATCTATAAAACAAACTAATGTATTACATAAGGCTAACTTGTATCCCTGTCTCTTCTACTCTTTCTTCCTCTTCTATAAAAAAACTTTTAAAAATTTTTTCAATTTTTAATTCTTCCTTTTAAAAAGAAAATATAAGCAATCTACTTGTATTTACATATGTGTATATTTGTTTCTCCCTCCCCTTTGATAAGCTCTAGAATACTATTCATACTTTTCTCAGCCTACCCCTCTCTCCTTTTAAACTCTAAAGTGTATCCTAGAGATCAGGATAGAAATATTCCTTGTTTCTTTTAAACAGCTTATTGCTCCTCTGTGTGGAAGTGCCAGTCTACTATTGTTTCCATTCTTTTGCTGTAACAAATACATATGTACAAGTTAATCTTTGCAGAACTATTTTTGCTACTGTATCTTTGAGGTAGATTCCTATTGAAGCTGTTAAGAAAATGATAAATGTATTTGTAACTTTGTAGATGTCCCTAGATAGTAGAAATTCCTCTCTGCTGGAGTTTTGCCATTTTGAATTCTCACCAACAATGAAAGAGACTTCTTCCCATACTTGCTAACAAGGTTGATGTTAAAATGATTGCATGTTTGTCAATGTGATAAGTGAGAA